CGGTGACTCCATCCAGCCACCTCATTCTCTGTCGTCCCCTTCTTCTTTTGCCCTCAGTCTTTCCCAGCATTAGGCTCTTCTCCAGTGAGTCCTTCAAGGTGCTAGTTTCTAGGAAATCACTAATAGTTCATTTTCCTATCAGACTCTGGATCAGACAATTTGTGACCTCACTTGAAAGATTGTTACGGTAATTGACGTTTGAGTGAATTTACCAATATCCTATCCCCATATTTGATGCTGCCCTTTTTTTGAGACATATGCTGCAGGAAATAACCAATTATATTTTAGGCTTCAGGCTAGTTAAACTCAGGCAGCATAGTTAGACTGTGTTTAGAACATTGTGTGGATATTAGCATGCTTACTGAATTAACCGGGTTGCTTGGCAAAATAAATAAATAAATAAATGATTGGCTAAATTTCTACCTCAGGGTTAATAGGGTGTGCAAATAATTTCAAATGCATGTTCAAATTGCCCATTTTGAGTGCAAAACAGCTATTCTGGGCACCACTTGGACTCTCCCAATCACTTTGGAAGTATTTTGTACATCAACAGCTGTTCCATATTAAAAATCCTGGAATACTTCCAAAATGATTAAACCAGCCCCTCTTGACGCAAAACAGCTGTTTCATTTTCGCAAACTTGAAAAAGAACACTGGAAGGTCAACATGAATTTGAAACATTTTGCGTATCCCTAACTTCTACTGTCTCTGGCATCTTAGGGATTGAATTTGGGTTCAGAGCATATGTTTCCACACCCAGCTTTTCAGTCTGGTTAACAGCTTTGTGTAAATTGTGACGTGTTATCCTCAATGGGTCCAAACAGAACACTCACAAAAGGAAAACAATAATTTGTTCTCACAATTTTTATTTAAATCATTTTGTATTTTTTTCCCCAAAATGTATGAATGACAAACTAAGGAACATTCTTTACACTGTCCATTCTAATGTCATGTATGTCATCCATTTATGACATTTTACTGGTGAAAAAAATAAACTCAATTTAAAAGATTTTATAAGACTTAATGCAAGTTTTATGTCATTAATAAAATGACTTAATTGGAGTCTTATACATGAAGCAGGAATATTAGAAAAAGCTTTAAAATGCATCCAACAAAATATCTCATTTACTTCTGTAAAGTGGATCAGAAAGTCTGTTTCCTTAACTACGGCTGAATCCAAGACCAAACAAATTTTCACACACCGAAACAGAGAAAGCTTTATAAACTTCAAATCTTTCAGGATTTACACTGATAATACAATTATAGACATATTTACTCTAGCGTAAAACTTGCTGAGTTCATCAGCCAGACCTTTTTTTTTTCATATTACAGTTCCTAAAAAGGCCATTTTTGGAATTACTTCAGCCTCAAAGCTATGGTCGGCTGTGACCAGGGGAGCCTTCACCCAGGTTCACCTGGTGCACCAATTGCGACCCTATCTGGACCGGGAGGCCCTTCGGATAGTCACTCACGCCCTCGTCACCTCAAGACTGGATTACTGTACCGCGCTCTACATGGGCGTGTCCTTGAAGAGTGTTCGAAGAATCCAGTTAGTCCAGAACACAGCCGCGTGAGCGATTGTGGGTGTACCTAGGTACAC